GACTGTAAGGGGAATCGCTGTGCTCACGAATAATGATCAACTGAATTCATTCGGCGAAAGTTCACGTTGGTTTCAAGCTCTTATTTATTTCAGACTGGAGAAGTGGGTGATGCTGGTGTCAGTTGATCTGTACGCTGAAAAACTGCAAGGCGTGATGGATGTGATGCGGTCTCATCGGAGGGAGATGTGCGGCACTCGTCTTAGCATAAAGGCCTAAGACTGCGTTTGCAGTCTGCGTCATTGAACTGAGGAAGAATCAGCTGAAAAAAGATTGAATATGTAACAGTTTGGTTCGTCGCGTTGAAAATCCTCAGAATGAAGAGTCGGTGAAATGGAGATTGTTGAGCAATGGACGCTGAACTGCTTTCTGTTCTCATGCAGTTTCCCATTCTGTCAATTCCGCAGTCCCATCACTGTGATATCTGTACTTCCTTTTTTCGCGAACTGTCCATTTGCCACGACTCTACTATGCATTATTGCAGTCTAAGGAAACGGCCCAAGCACAAGACGATAGGGGTGGTTGGTATATCACTCATACTTGGCGTCTGCCCCTTGCCGATTCACGTAACCCATTTCCAATCCGAAATTGGGGTGATTGGGTAGGCGTTAGTATCTCCCACCTTCCTCACAAGTCTCTTCTCTTGCGTATTCATCGTGTAATCTCATTCGGGAGAGCCAGTTTCCCCTCGAGTGCAATGCACAAAGCAAACTTCAGCTCATATCTGGTGCCTGAGAGGCATGTCTTTGGAATCATTCAGCTGTGAGGTATCGGCGTAACTGGAGGGGAGCCGGGTTAAAAAGAAGTAGCGGAGCATGGGTACTAGAGCCTGTAGGCAGGAAGACGTTCTCTTTATTTCATCCGTGAGCTGTCAAAAGGTCACAGATACTCAACCCAGCAGCGCACACAACTTTGTCCGACGGATCGCCTCTCTAGCTGCCGTGATATGGGATATACTTAGGACAGAAAGGGACGAAGACACCTGCTCATTAACCACTTCAATCATGTACGAGTCTATGCCTGAGGTAAAGCATCAGTGCTTGAAGATCAAGGTGAACAAATCACAGCGATAGTAGCAAACTTTACGACAATATCAACATGGGTCTCAACAGGAGCTGGGACATTTTTGTGGCATCTCTACAAAGACACTGTCGAAGATTTGTGATAATCAAGACAAAGCCGAAAGAAGTCCTCAACTACAAGACGGGCACTACTTGCAGGAGAACCTCGTACTGAAGAAAGACCCATTCCCGTTACTGGTAGACATTACCCCTCCAGAAAAATTGTTGGAGAAGGGAAGAAGCGCATTCAGCCGCCTATTAAGGGTAAAAAAACTGATCCGATCGTGATGATTTGCCGATTAGTGCGACCATTTGTGGACGCGTCATTGTAGGAGGCTGCACGGATTGGTATGCAAAGTCTTATTAGAATGATTAGAGACTGATTTCCTTTGGGGAAAAGCATCACGTAAGGCTTTGCTCAAAGTCGCGGAATCCTATAATTTGCGAGTTTGAGCAAAGCCGACGATTTTTGAATTCCGTGTTCATCGTACATGCCTAGAGCATTTATCGTGCCCGTTGTCTCCGCAAATACTAAGGTTTTCAAATTCAGTAGTCCCTCCTGCTTTTGTCTAATGTGCCCACCAGCAACCCATAGGCAATAACACTTAAACTCACTGCCGTATACACACTTTCCTGAAATCAGTTGGAAAAGATTTTTCAGTTTTACTGGATAAACGACTCTATGACTGGTATATCTCCCCTCTCTTTGCTGCTGTTCTCTTCGGAACTTCGCCAGGCTATTGCAAAGTTCTTCAAATGCACGAGACACCAGAGAAGTACCACTGATATCTGTGTTGTCACTCATTGGGCTGCGTTAACAACCAGGTAAACAAGTCTTACTATTGCTTTATCCACCAAACAAGGATCTACGACTCAGAGCATTGTAGCAGGATCAACATCCACGATAGGTCGCCGAAATAGGCGAATATCGCACGCTTTCACGCTGCCACATTCGTTTTTCGATCCTACTTTCGCAGCCGCTGAAGCTGCTCTAATGTTCTGAGAAAATGGCTCAAAAGCTGCGTCTTTTGAGGCAGCGTCTCAGGCTTCGCGACGGTAGAGCTTCGGTCGCGCGATTTGATGTACAGCTTCCACTGCAGTCTTTAACGTCCTCTTGCACTTTCTTTCCAGAGATTATATGTTAGATATGTTCAGCCAAGTCACCTTCTGCACGCTAGAAAATGATTCAATTCGTCCGCGTGTATGTTTCAGAAATGGAATAAGCAGAGCGAGCAGCATGCCATGAAGCACCGACAGCCCCTTCATCTTTTCTCTGCTATCTTTTCTTCGGAATAAATTCGTTTAACCTGCATTCTTTTGTAGAGAAATGAACGACCCACGCTCTTATGAATCACTCTCTCATGTGATTCCCTGAGTTACTGACCAGTCTGAATGTCTTGTTTTCTCCTTATCACGACAAGAGAAGCAAGGTAATCGAAGGGAGGAAAAACCGCCGGTCCGTGAAACCCGCACACTGGCGCAATCTTAGAGCATCTTGATATCCCCTCTCTCTTCTCTGGAAGACAGTGTAAGAGTCAGAACACAATAGAGTAGGTATTTACCGGCGCCGTCGAGGAGGTGGAAGAACATTACTAACGGGTGAAAGACAATGCTTACGCATTTTGTAGGTTCTTACCGCACACACTTCACATCCATACGGAACAGTAATTTTTTGGAACGTATATGGCCCATGCAATGAGTTGACGGGCCAGCAGATGTTCAAGTGGTGATTCTCTCTCCCAAACAAGTTTGGGGCATTTCGGTGACGGGGGCGGGGGGGCATTTCACACTTTTGCTGCTTTCCATCGACGTGTCGACTCATCTAGAGAGCTTTTTCTAGAGCTTACAAGAGCTGACGTGTTTGGACATGGTGGCTCTATGAACTTGCTCTAGCTTCACAACCAGAGTCCACAGGTTTCACCAGAGTCGTAACCCGTGCCCATTGAAGCCGTAAAAGCGCAGAATGTCCCCCTCCCCTCCGCTCCCGTCGCCGAACTGCGCCCACGAGTTCGTCGGCCCCAGAGGCCCTATAAGCTCGGTTGACGGGGCAAGGCGATCTTCAACTTGACCACGAGACCATGCGCGCAGTAAAAACGGTCCCATTTGCCCCTACGCCACTCTCTCCCGGCGTTGATACATAGGGTGATTATATAGGTTGGAAGGAAAGTCCTGTTTTTGAAAAGCTTACAGTTTCAATTCTCGATGCTCGTACATGACGTAACATGCTATGCTTGTAGGACACTCTGGGAGCTTTCCTGCAAGAGGCGTGTGAGGGCGCCTGCTCTTCCCTGGGTTTAATTACGATGTCAGTTTCACAGGAGTATCTTCGGGTCATCATCTTCTATCAGTGGCCCCGCGGCACTGGAGCACGGCAGCTGTCCGCAACATCAGCAGTGCATTGGCGGAGGACACCACTACCATCAGGACCGTCCACCTTTGGTTCGCTCGCTTCGCGAAAGGAGACACGATCCTCGAAGACAAACCTTGGTTGGGACGGCCCCAAGAAGTATAAGACTCCACCATTCTCGAAGCAGACAAGGGGGATCCAGAGCCTACCACTCAGCTGTCTTACGCAATATATTCGGAGACCTTAACTAGACAGATCGTCCACTCGCCTGTAATTGCGCTGAAACTGACCAAGAATATTGCTTGAGTGGATGCATCCTACCTTGACCGAGGGTACGGCTGTCACGGTTGTTTCCTGGTACATCTTGTTTAGGGTCTCCCATTCGCTGGCCGTCGTCAGAAAGGATTTACGGGAGACTGCTTAGTGAAATTGAGAGACAGGGTCTCTATATTTCAATCTACATACGAACCGTTTGTCATCTCTTCAAGGATAAAGATCCATTCTAAGTATTCCGAACACGTGCATGTATTCAAGAAGGTTCTCTGTGCTGGCTCCTGGAGACCAAAGGAGGTTGCCGAAACTGAGCCGTCTCCAGTGAAATAACTTTTCAACTCGGGTAGTGGGGCCACATTTGTGTCGCTCACTCCAGAGAGAGATGAAAGAGTGTTTGAGGAAAATGTACCGAATATATATCTCTGTCACCGTGCGTTCTATAGTCACGACGAGAACCCCATATGTGCTAGTGAGTCCTAATTCGCGATAATTGAGGAGCAAGGCTGGAAGACCAGTCCCCGCTCATAATATTCTCCTGACGTAGTCCCCTACGATTGCTACCTGCTCCGCTTCTAAGAAAACTTTCAGCAACTTTGATGACAGTCGAGAGGGCGCTGATTTACTCTCTCGCAGCCTTCCTCAGTTCTGGGAGAGGGGAATGCTTACCTGTCCATTGGGTGGAGCACTGTAGTGGCTAACTATGACGAGATGAGTTAGAAAATAAAAAGAGAAAAAAGTCACAACAGTGACAAGACTTTCCTTCCAACCTATATTACAGTATTGCAGACTAATGACCCACTATTATTGCACACGTCAATATGAAAAGCTCCATTATTTTGCGAATGAGCTGAATTAAACTAATTGTAGGGATGGATGTTCATCAAATAAACCTTTTATACACCTGATTCATCACAATTTACGACAGCACCTGAGTCGAGAACAGAAACGAGGGCATATAAGAAATTCTCTCTCAAAGCAATAGGATAGACCTATTCACCCGTAGGTAAGAGCATTAAGCTGCGATTAGGGACATACATATTAAATATTATAAAACGAGAACGATTCCTAAAGAAACGAAGTATGAATAGAAAAGAAGCATAGCGTTTGAGAACATTCTCAACGCGATAGCGAGGAAAGACAGACACATATCATACCGCGAACACAACCTCGCATCATGACGTCACACGTGAATAGAAACAAAGCTACTCATATTCGAATAAGTACACGTAAATATAACATGTGGAATTGGGCAATTGCTATGGAAAGATGGACACGTTGTAGATTTAAACAAAAGAATATGTCATAAATAGAAGAAGAAACTTCACAATTTCCGTTTTCTAATTCTCCGCCTCTTCCTCGGAGCATTCCAGTCCTCATCATCTCCAGAAGAAGTAGGTATTGGCATCGGACTCTGGAACAGAAGTAGGATTGAATACAACAATGGACGGAAACAAATAGGATCATTGGAAGGAAAAGCACGATTTGGAACCAAGGCACGCCACCGTTGTGATGATCACACAACGGGGGGTGGTGGTATTTGACCGCGAGGGAGTGGGGAGGGGTCGTATTTGGTCTGAGAAAATTTTTTAGTAGTTAATTTCTCTTGTTTCACGGATGGCTATAAAAGGGAAGGAGGGTCGTATTTGGCCGTTGTTGAGAGAGGGACTGCCAAAGATCTATACAACTACTATTTCCGATAGTTGAAAATGATAGTTAAATCCTGACAACCCCCTCCATTTCCCGCTCGACAGCAAAATTTTGGGGAAAAACCACAAGGAAAGTTCTGAAAAACTGGTGGGAGCTTAGGGGAAATCTGAGAAATTTTCCTGTTTCACAGTAGGTATATACCACCCCCCCCCTGTGACCCCCGCCCGCTCGACGGAAAATTCTTGGCTGAAAAACTGAAAATGTTTCGGGAAAAAATGGAAAAAAGGAAGTAGGATGTTGGGAAAATCTAGTAAAGTGGTAGGTAGCATGGGGAGGAGAGGGGGTGGTATTTGAGGACAGAATTAGGTGAGGTCGTATTTTACACGAAATGATCACAACGCGATGGCGTGCTCTGCTTGGAACAATCTATGAGAGCGCGCTCATCTTCCCAATTTTGATCGTCGCGACGATTTGGGTTCTGTCGATGAGGACTGCGGCAGGAAGCGCCTCCAAAGCTAATCAACGAACGACTACAACTGGCAGTATGAAAAGTCGGCACTATTGAACTATTCCTACCCCAAAAAACTCAAAAAAAATTTCGCTGAAACGTTGCCTATAGATGTAATTCGATGCGCTGATCACGAATATAACATTTGTTCGAGCGCTGGCGTCATTTGGCGCCATTATGCGCCAATTTGGCGCCCACCACTTTTTTCACCAAAGTCGATGGAAACTCGCATGTGGGGATTAATTGAGATCCTGGCTACGAATTCAACAATTGTTTTTGGCGCTGGCGTCATTTGACGCCATTACGCGCCAATATAATATAGCGCCATATTGGCGCATAATGGCGCCAATGGCGCCAAGCGCTCAAAACCAGTGTGATATTCGTAATCAGGATGTCGGTCAACCCCCATGTGCAAGTTTTCATCGACTTTGGTGAAAGTGTGGCGCCAGATTTGGCGCATTTATTGGCGCCAAAATGACGCAGCGTCGAAACAAATGGTAGATTATTCGTTGATCACGGGCATTCGAGGTACAATCTATAGGCACAAGTTTCAGCCGAAAAAATTTTTTGTTGAAACTTTTGGGCGTAGCGATGTGTGTCCGAAAAGTCTAATGGTTCATCCCCCTCCCTGGGACCGCGCGATCAGAGATGAGTAGATTCATCGCTGGGTCAATAAGGCTTTGACCCGCGTTGAATATGATTTGGGGGCGATGCTTAAATAACCGCCCATAGGGGTATCGCCAAACTGAAGTCACGTTCTCATGCGGTTAGGTACAATGGACAATGGTTGCTGTTTCCGTTTTGTTGCGCCAACTTCTTAACGAAGAGAAGCTTTCTTACAAGTCAACGATCAGGATTTTTCTCAGGTCAAATGCGATCACCTTTCTCAGCGGTCAAATGCGTTGTGGGGTGTGTCAGATTTAAGATCTAAAGGAAAAGGCAGCCGTACATGCTAGCAGCAAGTACAGGAACACTTAAAGACAGACCACTCGATCGTACATGGTGGACACTGGCATCCAGTAGTCCCTATAGAAAGATAAAAGCATTTAAAGTCTTCGCCGTTGATCAATCCCTTTGTGGGATGCGGCACGCATTCTACTTCCATTCAGAATCGTAGTGGCTTATTGAATGCGATGTGGCCTATACAATGACTTGCGGTGGCCAGCCGATGTACAAGTCAGTGTTTTATCCTCCCAGACGAATCTGGTACCAATTTACCGTCCCCGGAGGGTAGAAGGCTTGGTTGGCCTGGGCGGGAGTCGACCCGGGATTTGAACCCGGCGCCGCGCGAGTGGTAAGCGCGCCACTTGTCACTACACCACCTCCGCCTCTCGATATAACTCTGTAGAAAAGAGCGCCAGAACTGAAACTTTTTAGGCCGCCAGCACCTTCGTTACTTCTTGTGAAGTCGCGACGATGGGCTATCTCAGAGACCGAGGACCAGACTTCTTTCACGAAGAAGTACGCTTACGAACTGCTCGAGTGGGCGGATTGTCATCAAGTTCTTCCATAACTTTGTCCCCTATTCTGGTATTCCGCTTACTCACTGGGTTGAAGTTACTGCCAGCCCTCCTATTTGAGCTTCTCTGAACCTCAACTTGACAACGTTGCCCATTCGAGCAAACTAAGGATCCCCTACATGTTTCATCTTTACTGTCTGAGACCACTAATAATAAGAGAAAATGTCACGTACAACGAAGTCATCGTCATTGAAGGAACTCTCAGAAATAAGCTCTTGTTCAGCAATTTTTTTGGCAGCCACCCTGAAAAGTTAAAAATTTATGAAGTCATGTTCCTTTAGGTGAATGCTACAACAAATCTCACCGTGAGCTGCTTCTACTGCCGTCTAATTTTCTACAATTAATTATGTGTTTCTCGAACACTTTGGCACCTACCATCCGTCCACAAACACGACACTTAACGGTGATCTGGAAACAAACATTTGAGACAAAAACCTATGAAAAAAAGGAAGAACTTGAGTATAAAACAACTGTGGCCATGATCGTCGTATGCGGTAACCCTACACTGAGCTTCGCGCACAGTTTCTCCCACACTACGAATATTATCCTTATTGCATTCTAAGTTTTTTCTGTGAATCAAATTCTCTATAGCAAACTCGCTTGCTGTTGCAGAAGACGGGCGAGTAATCACAGTATTCGACGTTTACAGATCACCTTGTTCGGATAAGGCACGCATTCCACTAACTTTCGAATCGTAGTGGTCTATACAATGACTTGCGGGGACCAGCTGATGCCCAAGACAGTGTTCTCATCTTCCCAGAGGGATCTGATAGCATTACAGAATCCCCTGACGGTATAAGGCTGTCTGGTCTGGGTGGGAGCCGATCTGGGATCTGATCACCAGACCGCTCGCGTTACCCCCTTCCGCCTCGGAATAATCACAACAGCGATTAGGGCCAAAGACGAATCCCAGCATTTAGGTAGATCCAACTGCGAGCTTTCATATTTAGCAAAAATGAAGGATTTTCGGTTAAATGTAGAAGAACCGTGGTTTTGACATTACTTACAAATACACATACGAATACCGTGCATCAGTCGTCATCAGAAATGACCTCTCAGTAAGAATTTGTCCAGATCAAAACTAAAAAATCTAGAGCCACACGCTGTCACCGCTGGTGCTATGCAGTTAACCAGTTTGCATTTTCGTGCTCCGAAGAGACAAGTGCGCCCCAACGACAAGGTCTGGTTAATGTGTGCGCCACGTTGGTTGGCTTGGGGGTAGAAAGACGAGGCAGGTTGCAGAGAAGAGCTAACAGGAACTCACATAGTTAGACACTGTTTGCGAAAATGGGGATGGGACTCTATTAGTATCACCACGACTTTTCGTATTTGGCTCTAAAAAGAATGAAAGAGCCTGG